GCATCTCATGACTCGAGACATTGGACGCCCGTTCACTACCAGACCACTGATCGACTTCATTCAGCCCTTCACAACCGGACGCTCTCTTATTCGCCGCCGTCTCACAACCCTTTGAGGTTTGTTTTAATACTATTTGTTACAATACAATCGCATTACACAACCATTACATACAATATTGTCATTTATTCATTTGGTTAATTAGTAAGCTAATTGCTTTAGGATCTAGTTTAAATGAGCCCTTTTTAATTAACCACAAGTAGTCTATTTATGATCTATATTTTTGAAAGTGTTTTATCTATCAGTGCTATGGAAAGTGTAAAATTGTGGACATCTTTGACCCGATGTAAATTACTAGTAGTTATTGGTGTAATCGATAAAGTTTAGATTTTGGGTAGATTTAGTGGATATATTTTTACGAATTTAATTTTATAATTTAAGTTAACATTCATAGGCACTAGAAACCGAATTTCATTAAGCTTGCAGGATTTGACTTTATACATTAAATTTTTTAACGAAGTCAGGCAAACTAATTGTATGTAAATTGATCATCAAGACTAACATTTATCAGTTATCTTAATATTTGTTATGGCGTTCGATGTGTTAGACTTTATTTTGTCTTATATTAGAAGTAATGAATGAAATATTGAATTATATGAAGAAAAGACATAAATTATAATATAATTGAATAATATTTGAATGAATGCATTAATGATATGATTATTGCTAATGTAGTGCGAGTTCTGCCGCGTGTTCGACGGACAGCGCCGGGAGTTCGCTATCAATAGAAGACTATGAGAGCAGTCACTGTTTGACGCCTGTGTCCGAACACCACTCCGGCCTTCACAACAGTCTCATACCATCAGAACCTCCCATATCTGAAGAAGACGCTCAAACTGACGACTACCTGTCAATGTCTCCAACAAACAGTTCTGGGAGACAGTCATCTGGTTTCAGATCTCATCTCAATCTCAACTTTTATCCAACCAATACATCTCCCATAACATCGCCAACAGTGGGATCAACGAAGTCAGT